TACGTAGTACGCAGTTACACAGCTACGCTTAGGGTTATACGTAATATCCTACAAGACCAAGATGACCTGCCTCCGACGTCCGGATGGAACAGTTACTGCATCCCGAAGGGCAATGGAGAAAGTCATCCACGACTTCTACTCGGATCTCTTCGATAGCCATGTCCATCTGCCCACTTATCAACTGCAACAGGATGGATACGTCGTCCCCTCAGTTCTCTCTTCCGAAGTCCGACACGCCATCAAGTCGGTGAAGAATCGTACAGCACCCGGTCTCGACAGGGTTAAACCGGAACATCTGAAGAACGCACCGCCAGTTATTATCATGTTATTTTTTACCAGTTTTGCTCCGCACGCTACCGCGCGCATTACGCGGTAAGCTTGAGCAATGCAGAGTAACAGTTGAACACTTAACACTCGTTCTTTCAAACTATGCTCATACTCGTTAATATCCAATCCGTTCACCGAATACCTTCCCTTCGAAGTAAGAATTTACGAAACAGTAACCCGAAGCTCTGCAATTTGGAAAACCCTATTATTTCAGTGGTGACAACCTCATTGCCACCACTGAAATAATAGGGTTTTCCAATAATAATAGGTTGAAATGATTATGTAAAAGTCCTGCTCTTTCTTGTGAGTTTCGATCCCAATGCAATCTTTCAAATGCGTACCGTGTTTTGAGAAGCGCTCTAAATTTGCAATCGCTCAGTGAATTTTCCTGTGATGACCACGAATAAGTTTGATGAAGGAGTCGAATAGGAAACCGATATTTAACATCCTCCGATGATCAGCTCCTTGTCGTTTGTTCTTCTACTATACAGGGAATAGATGAGCAACATGCAATGCCAACAATAGTTTCAAAAAATTCATTACATCAAAACTTCAGTATAAACAATGTTTTTCAAAGAGGTGGATGAAGATTCAATCTTAATCCCTTCGGGTGTTTTAGCTCTAGATAGGGCCACGTAGAGCTGCCCGTGAGAGAACACTTCTTCCGGAAGATAAATACCGACTTTACTGAATGATTGACCCTGCGCTTTGTTGATGGTCATTGCAAAAGCAACACGAATAGGAAATTGCCGTCGTCGCAAACGGAAAGGCGTCCTCTTCTCCCAATAGTTGTCAATCCTAGGTATGACTGCTAGTTGACCACTGCGTTCTCCATTGAAAAATCGGCACGCTAGAGTATACCGCCCCATTCTTTCGATAATGAGTCTCGTCCCATTGCAGAGTCCATTAGCCACATCGAGGTTTCGTAATAGCATAACTATGGCGCCCCTTTTCAAACGCAACTCATGTGGTGGCATACCGGTTGGTGTTAGTGTATTTAAGTACTCCATGGAGAAGAGCTGCTCATTCTGCCCTTCACTATAGATGGCTTCGTCTATGCTTCTGTAACACCGCTCATCCTCTGGGTTTGGAACGCGGAGACGATCTAAGGCTTGCTCGTTCAAGTGTTGAACGTGAATGTTTTTTGGTGCTAATATAGCGCATTCACATAGTTGTGATGGGTTATCGGGATCAAGAACAGCACCAAAAATTTCGTTGACGATGCCTGTCGTACACAGCATTGAGGATGGCACTGAAACTTTATCATCGGAGTCGTTCGCGTCCCCACTGCCGATTTCTAAGAGACGCGTGTGCCAGCCACTTCCTCCAGCCTGAACCCTCATGTTAGTATTCAGTCGATGAATGGTGAACAGAGGCCAAAGGGATGAGTTACGCACGCACGCCTCGATAATGTCCTCACGTCGACCATTTTCAACTACAGGTAAGATTTGCCTGAAGTCACCACCCAAAACCACAACTTTTCCACCAAAAGGTGTGCTGAGCTGCGTTAATATCCCTCATGAGAGCGTCCACGGCTTCAAGAGCGACCTTTGGGTGTCATGGATATTTCATCCCAAATGATTAAGTCTGTGGCCGTGAGTTGTTGGGCCTCTGGTTGTTGGCGCCTCATTGTGGAACTTCGATTCTCATCTCCAATATTCAATTTGAATGTTGAGTTCACCGTTCTTCCGCCTGGTAGAAGATTAGCGGCTATTCCAGTCCATGCAACGCACAACACTTTATATCTTCGTTCCAACCGCAAGGTTGTAAACGGCGTTGTACAGGTACGTTTTCCCGCTACCGCCTGGTCCATCGAACGTATATATACCTACTCCCATTGCCGTCCAATGCAGCAAGATGCTGTCTGCAGCTGCTCTTTGCATGGGGTTGAGTGTTTCGTATTGTCGCAGCCCATTCCTCTCATAAGCGACATAATCAGTAACCGTTGTTGGTGACAATGGACGCTCGCGCGCTGGCGGCGTGACGATGCGGGTTAGATCCATTCCTAACAAACTCATTCTGTCTTGTACGTCAAAATATGCTAATGACACAGCTAACTCCAGATCTATTCCTTGATGAATGTAGTCGTCAGACATGGATTCTGCAAACTCATCCCATAAATCTTGCGCGTTGACCACGTCGCAGAAGCACAATAAACACGCAAAAAAGCTTCTGGTTGTTGCGGCCGACTGATATTGCACCGCCTCATGAAGGCTTTGGCGTAGATATCTAATCATCATCGAGAAATCCAGCCGCTTTCGCTGCATCGACAAAATTGGCGTGCATTGTTCCATCTATAGTGCGCAAATCTTCGAATGATGTTTTTCCCTTTGTGTTTAGGAGGAGGATTCGCAGACTGTACCTCTCAGTATCCCTTGGTGAAACTGTATACATTCTTCCAATCTTGTTTACTACCTCTTTCTCTAGGTGTCCATCCTCGATCACGGCGAAATGTGAAATATTCAGGGATCTGATAGTAGTAAAGACTTCTGGCATCTACTGTGAATTCGGGGTGCCTTGAAGTGCCGTCGAAGATCTGGGCACACCGAGCGTTTAACTGGAAATAAGCTGTTAATGTGGTGTGCAAACTATCCTTCACGACTTAGAGCTTTCGTGTTCCCTACCTTCCGGCGAAGTAGACGGTGTGAAAGTCCGGCAAATGCACCGCCAGTCTGCACACGGTGTGCGACCTATCCTGAAGTGGAAATCCGAAAGATTCCTGTATAGACTCTGTGGGGCACAGAACATATCTTGTGTTCAAGTGTCGTTTTATCTCATCATTCTTCGCCTGCACCTTCGATGTTGAATATTTGCTCGATCTGGCCCCTTGTAAACGTACTTGTAGAGATATTTCACAGCTGAGATCATCCCGCATATTTCCATATTAATATGGCAGTCATATTTCATGATCAGATATGGATTCGTCGGAACGACCCATTCATCACTGTAAGAGACCCCATGTATCTCAGCCGGGAAACGGTTGCGCCTTCTATACAAAGGATATCCGTCTGGCTCCACAGATGTATGGTGACGCAAAGGTTTTGGGAATCTCTTAGAACAGGAGCCAGATTGCATACACGGAGACTGAGGGTCTGCTGGACCACACCGGCGATGTATCATGTAGGACGTGATAGCAGCGTGAAGCTCCGGTTCCGTTTCTGGGTTCGGAATTTCGGCAGTCACTGCTCTGTCGCACTCTTCAGGTGTGCGAACTTTCCATCTTTCCTTCATTATCAAGAGCATGTGACAATGTGGCAATCCGCGCTTTTGAAACTCAATAACATAGACGTACGCCTGCACTTCTCCAAGCACATGCTTTTTGAAGAGATCAGAACACAGCTCCATTAATTTTGCATGGAACACACGCGAAGTCAGATCAGGACGATCTGATGGAAGTTGTCCATCGAACAGGTTCTCCTGTATTTCTTTCCATTGTGGATTGCAGGTCATCGTCAAAAAGTACGTAGGTTTGCCAAAACGGGCTACAATGGCCATAGCGTCTTGGAAGGCCTGATGCATCGATCTTGGGCTACCGATGTACGATGACGGCAATATGACGCGCCGTCCTGGTGGTCCATTGACATCCTCCCCGGCTACATAGTCTTGAAGTCCTCTGTAGTAATCAGCGCGTAGGGCAGGTTGATTCTGACGTTGGAAGTTCAGACGGTTCTGCTCGATCTTAACATACGCATCAACAGCAAATTGTTGACACAACTTCCCAGCGTGCAGAATTGGGTTGAATGAGTCTCGCACTGAAAACAAATATGAGTAGTAATCCTTTTGGGTTATGCGACCACCCGATGTATTGGTCAGGCTCGGATCCCATCCTCCTGCGCCAGTTGGAAAAAGGAGTGGGTATGTGAGCGGATCGCACCTTTTGTCAATGTCGCGGATATTCACCAACTCTTCCCCCGCTGGTCTGCGCAAGTGAACTGCGAGACTTCTTGTAGGCGGGACGTCATCGTCTTCCCCGAACATAAACCACCGCCACTTCGTTGGCTGTCGGGATGTCGTACCGTCGACGAAGAAGTCCCCGTTCTCTGCTTTCCTCGAACACCATCCTGAGGTTGCCAGGGGGACGATTTTCTCTTTCAGCTAGAGCAATTTCGGCTTGCTCAACTTCACTCATCATTTTAAAGGACTGAGCGTAGACGTTGATGTTGGAAATTAATTCGCTGAGGAAACGCATCAACTCAGGGTCACAATCAGCATTCCTTACATCTCCTATGCGTTGTTGAGCAGCCATTTCAGTGTCAAGAATATATATTTGTCCGTATTGTCGTTCCTCTCCTTCTTGTGGATGGAGTGGTCCTATTCGATGATATACTTGCCCGTGAATGCGATAACAATAAGGGCCTCGGCCTCGAAACGTATCGACTTGAGCTCCCATCGACGCCATTGCTAACGCCGAATTGAAGCTTCTGATGTTGTCCATGAAGTTTTTTTGAGTGCGCTGTTGCGCTCCGTATCCGTAGAGCTTCGACAAACAGTTTACGCAATTCATCAGGGAAGTTTTCAAAGAAGTTCAAGTTGAATCGGCCCAAGTTACAGCATCAAGGAAGAGATCTGGATGCTGACGTTTGACTTCGCAGAGAAAGTGACGTGCTCCGCAGTTTCCACACCTGTAGTTCAAATGACCTAGGTAGCTGGACTGTGCGAAACGTTCTCTTAAGGCTACTTCGAGCATTTCAGAAGGACGATTGCGCTCTCTTCGGTGTCGTTCAGCATCGTTTGATAGTCTCGCACGTCTTTCCTGGCGACTCTCACCATCACGTCTTTGTTGATGGCGTCCGCTATCAGACAAAAGCCTATTTCTCCGTTCTTCGACTCCTTCAGATTCCCTGCTTAGCCGTTGTCGCTCCGCATCAGCCCGCTGTCTTGCGGCGCGCTGCTCACCGTTTTCTCTGTCCCGTCTTCGCCTGTGTCCGCTCCGCATCATCCTGCTGTCGTGCGACGCGTTCTTGAATGCTTTCCCCTTCCCGTCTTCGTCGCTGACGCCTTGCGTTGCTCTGCTGCCGTACACCTCGCTCCTGACTGCTTTCTCTTAACCCTTCTCTGGCTTTGGCGCTCTGCATTATTGTGTTGGCGTACAGCTCGCTCCTGACTGCTTTCTCTTACCCTTCTCTGTCTTTGGCGCTCGGCATTATCCCGTTGGCGTACAGCACGGTCCTGCCCTACTTCCTCTTGTCGCCTTCTCTGCTGGCGTATGGTATTTGCACGCAGGCGAGAAACCCTTTCTTGCGACGTTTCTCTCTGACGTCTATTTCTCTGGCGTTCGTTTCCGCTGTTATAAATTCTTGGCCGGCCTCGCTGTCTTTGCAATTCTACTTCTCTCACATTGTCTGAAACAGAACTTCACTAAATACTGACACTGACAGTAAAATCCCATTCATTTTACACACGCGTGTGAAGCGCACAACTGAGGTGACTTCCGCAAACTAATCACGTGAACCAAACCTTGGTATGCTAAAGGGTAGTGGAGCCCAACACAGCCAACCTAAACCAAACCCAACACACCACGTGCCAATTCGCTTGTCACATATCGAATGTGAGAATGTTCCAATCAAAGTGTTTTTCAAGAGGATGCCGGTATATGGTGGAAAAGAAGCAAAAACAGTGAAAGAAGAGCAATGAGGCAGGTGATCTAGGAGTGGTGCTCACTATTTCCTAACGGAGTGTCAAGTGGTCCCAGAAAACTCAGTGAAAGCTTAGAGATATCTCACAGATGCACAAATGGAATAAGAATCACGGTTAGTGATGACGAATAGTGAGAATCGGAAAGATTGCTAATGACGGAGCTTGAGTAAGATATTCAGGAGTAAAATGAAGCATCAAATAGATGGGTAACAACGGTAGGAACTGTTCCACAGATGTTCCACTGTTCAGAAATATTTCAGGTCTCTATTAATCCTTGTAAGATAGCCATATTGTCAGAAAGGGATTGTCTGTGTGGCAACCACAAATATAGCGCTCACCTACTAATTGACATTTGCAGCTACGGAAATTGAGAAAGCTTAAGGTGAACATTAATTCAGCGATCAAGCCGTTGGAGGGACATTCAAGTGAGTGAGCCAATTGCTGTACTTGATACTGAGTCTTAAGAAGGGGAGGGGATTCAGGGGAAAGACGT